ACAACACACTGGATAGCTGGCCAATCACAGCACACCTCGCTTTTTCAGACCGATGAGCTTTGTAAAAATCGACGCGTTTCAGAAAGGCGGGGCATAGAGGAGAAACAATAAGGTACAGTATGTGGAAAATAATGTGTTTTTGAACCTTAAACCGCATAAACACATTTCATTACACCAAATAATGTTCTTTTTAGCAGCATCATATGACCCCTTTAACTATGTCACTGTAAAGGAATACATAAGGTCACTTACATGCACACACTCCCTTTTCGTACCTCGGCTTGTCAGCACTGTAGTCACAGTAAAGTCCTTTATGATAGTCACAGGTATCTCTCTCATTACAGGTCTCCCCCACCTGCTTGGCACAGGCCTTGCAGCAGTCACATCCATCTGTCAACAGGCTGACCCCATGTGGGCAAACAGGGGCATTCTTAGGGCACTTACAGGGCCATTTGCAGTATCGATTTCGGTAAAAGGGGTCCAAATCTGTGGTCACAAGAGGAGAGTCTGTGGAGTTGTGGGAACTGGCCTGAGTGGGAGAAACGAGAGGAACATGAAGATGATATGCCAACTTTAGCCACTTTGGGGCAACAGAGAGTTTGCTTTGAAATTACATTGAAATTGGACTCTTTGAATAGGTTTCCAATAACTTCATTGCAGAGGATGCTTTGGATTAGTTTCTAATATGAAGAAGCACAGGATCACTTTTACACTGTAATTACACAGAATTTGCTTTCCAAAACTGATGGCTAATTTGAATAGATATACAAACAGAGCGAAATGCAACATTATTGTGACACAACGTTTTGATTTTTATAAATCTAATACTGCCTGTGTAAAATCGTATCGCCTACACAACAGTTAGTTTTGGTTCTCAGAGTATCTTTCGTTTTCTCTCTCGATCAGAGACCGGGTTTCTCTCTACAGTGGATGAAATGGAAAACCCGGAGTGGAACAACAACAACGGATTGCAGAAGCGGAGAAGGCGCTCCCTGCCGATCCGCTCCACTCGTATGTGTTGCTCCAGTGAGGCATATTTTTTTAATATTAATAATTTTAGTGTGAGGCATAATTTTTTAATATTAATAATTTGATAATTGATATTCAGGATATAATAACACCTTTGCTAGTGTGATGTCACCAAATGTGGTTAAATAAGAAACAACAACAACAACAACAAAGATAATACATATATAATATAGAAATCGTGTTCTATTTAAAAAAGCTGTATTACAACCTACTGAACGCTTCCTAGACTTGATGCAACATTTCCGAGCATTAATTAGTATAAAATCATGGCACATGATGAACCAATAGAAAAAAAAATATTTGCTTTATTGTCATCATGACAAATCAAACATTGACTTTCAGTTTTGGAACACATTATTTAGGTTTCTCGTGATGCATTTGTAGGTTGCAAAGAATTTGAATAGGCTATGGCATGACATGATGAGACAGTTTGTTTTGCGCTTTCCAAGAATCAGTGATGGTCTCTAACACGTCACTATACTTTAACTGCGCGAAAGGGCAGTTTACAACAGATATTCTTCCTTACGCTTTCCTTAACTGTGAAAAACTGTGTGCCTTCAGTTGCTTGATTTTTTTCATTCAAATACTGCATTAAAAATTAACGGTATGATAAGACTCACCTGGTGCAAACTGGCTGTCAAAAGAATCCACGACAGGAGTCTCCACATTACTATATTCCTGAGAGAAATGCATTGAAACAAGAAATGTTGTTTGCTACAGGTAGAATCCACAAGCGTTCCCTCGTGGCATCCACAGAGCGCTCAGTGATGTGTCGGTCAGCGTTACTGGACTTGCTTTACCTCTGTCTGTCAGATTTAGAGGGAGTTTGCTGGAAGTTCAGTCTTCAAGGGGGAGGAATCAAAAGAAAACGTCTGAATTATTTAGAAAGCGAACTTTGTCTTATCAAATCACTAACATAGAAGATAAATGTTTAGATTTTTCATGTCTAAATTATGTCTTGGCAGTGGCATAATTATTGCATGACATGAAATCTACGCAAGCCATTAGTTCCGGGACTTTACTCACTCACTCACTTTGAGGATGATCTGTTTGATTCGTTTAAGTCAAAGAATCTGATGAAGGATTTTTAATCATGTTAAATGTAGTCAATATATACATTTTTATATGCAGAATATTGATTTAAAGAGGAGAGGCAGTCATTATTTAAATCCATAGTTAATTTATTGCTTATATTGCTTTAAGTGCTTAACATTTGGACACAAATCGTTCCAGAGATCAGCAAGAATTCAAGATAAGAGCAGTTGGACAGATAACTTTGTGTCCCTAAAACATTTCCTCCTGTAGAGCTGCCAGGAGGTGAAAATGTATATGTAAGTGACCAGACATTGTAGTGATTTAATACTACTTTTAAATTCTACCTAAATTTTACTGATAAAATGAATTTCTGGCAACCACAGCTGTTGTGCTTTTTTTTTTTTTTTTTTTTTTCCATATTTTTTTTTTTTTTTTTAAAAAAAAACAAGTT